GTCTCATCTTTGCTACATTCGACCTACTGCTACTTATTCCTTGGGATATTACTGCTACGCTAGCCGAGACAATTTTCAGTTTACATCCTTTCCTAAATCTAAGCTTATATCTTGAAATTAACAATTTCGTATGCTTTCTCGATGAATACTTTCCTATATCTTGCAATTTATATAGTGGACACATGTGATGGAGGGTTCAATATCTCAGAGGATTGAGACTTAGTCGCCATTTACAATTATTACACCAAAGGGTTTATAAAAGTTATGCTTTATTGTAGGTTAGTAATGTAAAGTACAGTGAGGTAGTTACGGTAGATCAGCGTGCAAGCTGTCGTGAGTAACGAGTAGAAGCATTAGACTGTGAGAGACTAACTAGAAGACTAACTGAGAGGCTAACGAACTCTGACGTAGAAATCGCCGGTATTTATAGTTTTAAAGATAGAGCACATGCAGAGAATAGGATTGTGGAATTAGATACAACATATACCATAACAGGTTACAAAATAGCAGATAATTGTAGAAAACAGCGAGTACCGTAACAACTAAATACTGTACAGTAGTCTATATATGAATGTAGAGTAAGTGGACTTTAGATCTGTCTAAATATAAGAGCAATACAACATGTCTATATTTAAGAGTAGAATATAGTTACAGTATATTCTAAATACATTACAACACAATTCAAAGAAATCGGAGAATTTTATACCGCTAATTGTAATTATTTATGGGATGTACATGTAGAAATCTAAGTAGATGCCTCAAACATTAGGCAGTAGATAAAGGATTTTACTACAGTAAATCTGTGCCGCTGTGCTGGGAATCGTTTAGAAAACCTCGGTATATATCACCTGACTGATATTTGATCAATCAGATCTAATAGATTACAGAAAAATTGGTACCTATACATTAGTGTTTCATGTCGGAAAGTTTTACTGATCAGATTCCGGATTATACATGTATTATTAGAATGTATTAATTAATTATTGGAGATATCCATGTTGATCCGTAGTATTTATAGTGATAGAAACTTTTTGCTTTCTATTTTATTATTACTATCATCAATATTTGCCCAATATCGAGAATCTCATCCAGCAATACACGTGTTTAAAATTATGCTTTCTAACCTTGGTGTTACAAAACAGCTTTGCAACAAGATAACGTATTGCACGATCAAACAGTCGATTCCCTTAACCACTTATCAGGGAGCAGTATCTACTCTTTCAGGAATACTTTTCCTACACTAGTAGACTACAAAAAGACTTAGACGCCTCGTATCTTACCTTAAACACTAATCATAAGAACTAACTATATTATACGATTTATCGCATTTATGTACTCTTTTACAATAGCAAAGACATCCTAGTTAGTAATATTAACGTTGAACCTGATAATGAATCAAAAACTAATTTTATCTACTGCTACCTAATGAAGACAACAGTATATACGAACATAGACATCGGATGACTAATACAAAAATTGTTAGATTACAATATGTCCAATCACGGAACATTTCTACGATAATCTAAAATGTACCATAAGTAAATAATAATCACAGTGATTTGAATTGTAAGAAGATTAATCTCGATTCCCTAATTAAACTACTAATTTCAGTAGGCTGTATATATCACCATGAAAGCTAGTGCTATATTTAAATATCACATATCTAAATTAGAAACTCCTATGTAAGGGTAAATCAACAAAATCATCCTAACATAAATGTTTCTACTATAATCTCGATATTACAGTGTATAACACTGTAACACTTAGTAAATGCCTTCATCTCACAAATTAAGTCAAGTGAAATTAATACATAGAAAGTGTATGTACAGCACAGTATTTT